GTTGTGCTCCCCTCTACTTATCTTACATGTGTAGAGATCAAAACCTCCAAACAGTGTTTGTTGAACTGCCAAACAGCATTGACGCATACCAGGAGTGGATTTTCTCTGCTTTATCATTGGTCCAGGTGGCTTCCACTACCAGGCTATCACTTGGAAGAAACAGACACCACAACAAACTGGAACGGTCGAGCTACAATAAATCGGTCCATCTGGATCTACTGGTCGTAGGACGTGTGGTTCGGCATCTCGGCGTCGCCCCACTACCTCCTAGGACTCCTCGGCCCTATGTCAGTCCAGACTATTCATAGTTCGTCCCAACGCATCAGTACGGATTTAAGCAAATATCCATTTTCGCAGAATCATAGCTCGGTCGGCTTGCCCGGCCCAACTTAATGGGCCGGGGCAGGCGCGTTTGTTCAGTTCGGCCAGGTTCATGGTCCTTCGCCCTAGTGAGGCCCAACGCCATATCCCACGCTGACGTAGCTCGGCCCAATTGTTAAGTGTACTAATAAGATTATTAATAATTGTATTAATATCCCCAATATTGTTGTAAAAAAAAATTTATTGGTCAATTCAATTAGCCAAAACAATAACTTTAATTATTTCATAAATCATGCCGGAACTCTCAGTAAGGATGATCACACATAAAACAATAAACAATAAATAATAAAAATGCTTCAACTGTCCATAGGAACAATGAATTTGAAATCGTTAATCATGCCAATTGTGAGATAAAATACAATATAAATTACCAAATGTTAAGTTAGATCTTTGACCTTTTCAAATAAACAACCAAGCAATTATATATAAGGAATACCCAATTTCTCACAGAAAATTCCAAAATTAAGTTCGGTTTTCGATATTTCCAAATAAAAATACAAGTACATTGTAATCCAAATCCCTTATTTGTTGGCTAATTAAAAAAAAAAAAAAAAAAACAAAACAAAACAAAAAAAAAGGGCATATCAGTCCAAAAATTCTAAAAAAAAAAGACTAAAAGGATCTCCTAGAATAACTCACAAAGTCAAAAAAAAAAAAAACAAAACAAAACAAAACAAAAGGGCAAAACAGTCCAAAAATTCTAAAAAAAAAAGACTAAAAGGATCTCCTAGAATAACTCACAAAGTCAATGGGACTTACATGTCTATAAGAAAATTCATAAAACTTTTTAGTATACAAGTTTTTGAAATGGGATTTCCAAATAAATTTTAACAAAAAAAATTCTATTGATTAACTCTAATTGAATCATAACAATAAATTCTAATTATTCCATAAATTATGACTTCTAAAAGAAAAGTATTCTCAACTATTTTAAAATTTAAATTTGTATACCACCATATAGAAGCAATTTACTAAAATTTAATTATAATCATAAAAAAAATCTAATTATTTCATAATTTATGATTTTTAAAATATACATATATTAGTATAATACTTGAGCTCTATGCACGGACATAAATAAATAATTTTAAAATTAAATAATAACATAGTGCAACCCCCCTATAGTCACAAGCGGGATTCGAACTCGTGCTTCGGATTCCCTTCCTGAAGCTTCTAACCTAAGAACCATAACTTAGTAACCTTACCAAAAATAGTTTAGAATCAATTAGATTTTAACCATTTTCATCAGCATTACATTGAAGTTTTTTTTTTTTTTTAGCTGGTTTGATATATATTTTTTTTGTTATGTCATTAATGTGTATTCTAAGTTTTTAATGAGAAGTGCTTGTCATAATTAATTGATGAAAACTAAAGAAAAATAAAATATATTACAAACAGTACATTTAACATAAAATAATACATTCCATCTCATGAATTTTGTAATTTTAATTTCTCCTATGTAATTTTAATTTCTCCTACGTAAAACATTTTAAATTCCAAAATCATAAATATGGTTAGATGGACCAATTCTATGCCAAGTGTATTTTTTAACATATAATTTAAAAAAAAAAAAAATTGTGAAGATCAATGCTGTAAAGCTAATAGTGCATTTCGGATGAAACATTCTTTCGCTATAACATATATGTAGATGTAGAAATATGAAAATTTTATTTTTATTATGCAAAGTTACAATAAAATTGTTTACACTTGTCAATTAGCTAAATTTTCCCTTCCTATGCCTTTACCGTTCTCTTTATTCATCTTCTAAGAAGGACAATTATGTTATTTATGCAAAAAGTATATAGTCAGTTAAAAGCATAGCATGTGATGGGAAAAAAGGAATGCGAATAGAGCTAACAGAAAAATTAAAGTTACCTTAGCAAGTTAACAGCTAAAGCTGACCATCATATCATGGTTATTCTATAATGGCAAAAAAATAAAATAAAATAAAAATGGTTGTAAACAAAGTTAAACTATACAGTACTGTTTTATTTTTTCAAAAGATGATTTGATCTTGGTTCTAAATAAATATAGAAATCAATTGAATTAAAGTAGTTGCAACGTTTTCTACTAATTAATTGATTTCTTGTTGATTGATAATTGGGATGTTTTTTTTTTGGAATACATAACCTAAGACATTGAATTTTATACAGTTTTGATTCACTCGGATACTTTAAACAGTCTAGCTTTGGTTTTAAATTATTATTACTATTATTTTTATTATATTATTATTTTTATTTTTATTTTTGTTTTTATTTTTAAATCTTAACCTTTCAAATTGACCCGAAAACCAAACTAAACATCCCAATATATATATATATATATATAGTTAGAAAAATTGAATGATCCAAATATATGCATTTCAAACCTATTCAAACTATCGAGCAAAAAAACAAAATATCTCAAATTTATTCAAAAATATGTTAGCACGACAAATAGGGGTGTTTTCTAACTATTATTTTAATTTTAGTATCAAACAATAAATAGCTGATTCTTCTTAAATGGAACACAAGACTTTGGTTTAGTTTAAAATCAAACAATTATTAGATAAAAAACAACTAAAGAAATTCAATTATACAATAAATAACATTATGAGAATTGAGGTGGAATGGTTGACTAACCAGTAACTTTGAAATAGCTTTATTATCGAGTGACTATCTAAACTTGTAAGAAGTTCTTCTTGTTGTCTATGCTGTGTATGAGCCTTAACAATACATATGACTTTTTAATATTTTAGGGTTTTAGGGTGGGGATGAGTTAGGAACAATTAATCATATTTTCAATATATATATTTTTCAATGGAAGTTTTCCTATTATGAGATTGTCATTATTATTTTAGATGTCATGGAATATAATTAGGCCCATAAATTTGAATTTGGAAACGGATTGGTTGTTTCCTTTTGAAAATCACAAAATATGGAATAATTATATTTTTTATGCTTACATGATTGTCAGCCAATAAGTTTTTTTTTTTAAACTATTTAAAATTAAAATAAACCACGAAAATTTGTATGATGTTTTCTCATATGGCTCCTCATTGCAATGTCAATTTACTATAATATATAGTATAGATTTTTCCATTTAAAATTTAAAATTATGTGCTATATATATACTAACATTCAACCCATATTATGCAGAGTTTCGGATTGCTGCTACGTAGGGTGTGCAACGGCAACTGTTGCATGCCTTATTGGGCCCATTTAAGGGCCTAATTCGATAATCTGAACTGTTCATATTTTAGAAGGTATTGAGTAAAACATACTTGTAAAAAATTAAATCAATCGGATATCGTTATCTTTTTCATCAAGTCACATGTGCATTGAGTTTTATATTTCAAATTATATTTATCGTATTTTTAAAAAAAAAAATACACATGTGATTTTATGAAAAGGCCAACGATATCTGATTGACGTGATATTTTACAAGTATATAATACTCGATACGTTCTAAAATGTGAATGGTTCAAATTATCGAATTAGACCCTGGAATGGGCCCAATAAGGTGCACAACAGTTGCTGCTACGCACCCTGTGCAGCAGCAATCCCAAACTGTACTATGCACGACTAAATGTATATGATAATGATATATATTAATATTTGATGAATTTTTAGATTATAAAATAATTTTTTCTTGAATATTGAGATATATGATAAGGATATCTATTAACATTGTATGAATTTTTAGATCATAAAATTTAGAGCGCGCATCTATTTTATCCTATGGCCTAATTGAGGTTCAATTTGGGTGAGCCCGATTTGAGTAATTTAAGTTCGTAAAATTTCGTAGCCTTAAGTAATTTAAGTAAGTAAAATTTTATGGCCTGAGGACTATTTTCAATTTGGTCAAGAGTAATAGTTGTCTTTAGAATTGATTTCTAATTTTTTGCAAAAAAACATTCAAAAAAATAGAGAAAAAAATTGATTTTTTTGTAGTGCTTTTTACTCTTGGGGTGTTAAGCTTTTTATCATCTTAACAATGAGCTATTTTTTCGCAAGGCCTCTCCTATAGTATCGTCACCGTAGTAGAGTTTAACCACAAAGTTCGGATGGAATAAAAAGCCAACTTCCCAAAATAGGTCTAAGATAAAAATTTATCAACTCAAATTAAATTCAATCAGAATTTGAAATTTGAGTAGTAAACTTAAATATGGATTTTAGACGAGTCCTTATATTAATTAAAAGGGGTTTTCAACCAAAAGAATTGTGATAATTCTAAATCCTCAAACTAAATTTTATAACTTTTAAATATTAAAAAAAAAATTCTATTGGTTAACTCAATTAACCATAACAATAAAACACTAATTATTCCATAAATTATGATTTCTAAAAGGAAAGTATGCTCAACTATTTTAAAATTTAAATTTGTATGCCACTATATATGGGAGCAATTCACTAAAATCTAATGAAGACTTAACATAGCAATCCAAGGCTTCAGCTACTGCAATAGTTACTGCAACAGATCAAACAGCGCAAAAGCAGTCCACGGAAGCTAATCAAGTGCAGTCTTACATGAAGGTGTATCACAAGCCATGGTGTCATGACCCAAACCCGCCTCTATAAGTTTAGCGTCGTAACCGGCCAGTAATCCTAGATTACCTTTGGCCTCAAAGATAAAATTTCAAAATATTTTAATTATATCGGGGCCTTAAGCGGAAGCAAAACAAAAAAAATAACAATGTCCATCGAGCTTGTGCATACATGATGACTAAAATAATTAAAACATTAAAACACAATAATAATTTATACACATATCTTATATATCTCACACACATATACGTTAAGACTTAGCAAAATACAAAACTCTGGCAAAGCTAAGGGGCGGATTTTCTTGGCTCTACTCGAGCCTAACTTGCTCCATTCCGGAAGCTCTTCAAAAGGCTGACAGGGGTAGACTCCGAGGCTTTCTCTATCCTTGTTGCTTAGTTTACTCACCTATATATACATATAAATAGTGAGCTAAAGCCCAGCGAGTAATAACAGAATAAAGAGGTTAAATAAATGAAGTTCGACGATAGTACAAAAACATGTCTTACAATTTTGAAATAAGTCTTAAATCATTTTCAAACTAAGGCATTTGCCATATTATATCAAACTTTATAACAAAACATTTTCCATACCAAATCTCTTACCAAAACATATATTTCATTTTTCCGAAACAATCCATTTCCATAGGCAAAACAATTCGTTTAGCCATCACATCAATTCCTTTCAATAATAAAAACCATTGTGCGGTAGCATTTTTATTAATTCATTAATTTCATCATTTAGATCTTTCAATGTCAAATTATGTGGTACATCCATGAAGTAATAATGAATCGTATGTCAATCAATCTAAAAGTCATGGTATTGGTACCCCCAGGCAAGGCCCTAGCCATGCTACTATTATCCCCAGGCAAGGGCCTAGCCATGGTATTGTTACCCCCAGGCAAAGGCCTAGGCATGGTACTATTACCTCCAGGCAAGGGCCTAGCCATGGTATTGTTACCCCCAGGCAAGGGCCTATATTCAATGGATGCCACAATATCATTTCAAAACAGAACTTCATTAGTTAGAGGACATAACATTTCAATAAGTCATGCTATCAATTATCAAATCATTTTAAGAATTCATTCAATCAATCACATATCGATTTTGATAGCAATAACATTTTCGAAAGTAAAGATACTTTGAACATATCTTTATAAGGTTATTACTCACAGCGTGTTAAGTCGATGTAAGGCCTCGGATGTCCACCTATATAAATCACATAACAAAAACACAATAGAAGCACCATTCAATATTCATTTCATTTAATTCAACTCTCTTTATGTATTTCTAGTTTATTTAATGACTATGTAAGTCCAATTGGTGCCTAAGAATTCTTAGAATGTCATAAGGATGCAATTATGCATTTAAAAGAGTTAGTCAAAAATTGTTGAAAATAGGGTCCTCGAGCGGACTGTAAAATTTTGCAAAACTTCTGGGAGCTCGATTTTCACACTCGAGCGAGACTTTCCTTGCTCGAACGGACAGTGTGAATTCTGGAATTTCCATAATTGTGTTCCAAGTTCAAATTTGATATTCAATGCCTCAAAACTTGTATTTTTGGTTTAAAACATGGAGAATCATTGTATAATTTAGTAAACACTCCTAATTAGAAATCATTTATTCAAAATTATGCTCCAATTGTCCAAATTTAGATTTAACTCATTTTCTTTATATCAAACCCACATTTTTAAAATACGAATTAAACTTTCTAAACTCTTGAAATTTCATGATGTGTGTAAAAATAGAACCCAATTTTATTATTAATAAACAAAAATCAACTTAACTATGAGTTACACAAATCAATTTCTTAGAAATTCAACTTAACTCAATTTTTAACCAAAAACTTAATTTATAATCATGGATGTTCTAAAATGTGTTTAAATTGAATAAAACTTTTAAATTCAATTACATGCATGGATCAAACAAATTCATAATTTTCATAATAAGATCAAAACTTTTCTTACATTAGGATTAATTCCAAAATTCCATAAATTTGATTTTTCTAAAGCTTTTCCTTTCTCTCTTCAAAATATGTGATTGAATTAATCCAAATTCTTCAAAATCCATGATGCATGTATAATTGGAGTATTAAACTTGTAAAATTTATTCATGCATGTAACAATGAAGCTTAATTTCATGCAAAATCACAACATCAAACCCAAAATAATTAATTACCATAAATTGAACATAAATCCATTTCTTCATCATCTTGCTAAATCCTTTTTTAATTACATGAAATTGAACTCAATTATCTCTCAATTTCAGCATTTAGGTAATTTATCTACAAAATTTAAACTTTAATTTCTTACCTAAAATCTTCAATTTGTTGAATCTCTTGGTCAAGCTTTGAGTTTCCTCCTTTGTCTTCAATTTCTTGAATTTCGTTCAAACCCATCAACACAAAACTCTCTTTCTCTCTCTCGCTATCTCTCTCTCTCTCTTTTCTCTGATTTTTCCCAGCCGAACAGGTTGGTGAATAGATTTAAGGCTCAAATACTTAGCTCACCCTCTTCCTGATTTCATTTATTCCATTCTTTTATTATAATTGTTATTATTATTGTTATAATATTAAAAATCATGGGACAATTGTCCACCTTAAATTAATCCATGTGGTGATGTATGCTAGGATTAGTTAGCACACTAATTGTACATTAGCTTAATTAACCATAACTAATTACAATTCCCACATAATTTAATTAATCTAATTTGACTTCAATTAAGGCTCAATTATTTATATTTAATCTGTACCATTCTGTATCAGATTTTTAATCAGACTTCCAAAAAGGTCCAAATATTAAATTAGACTTATTTCCATTATCAATTTTGATTTCTCAAACTATTTAGGCCTTCAATTTCTAATCAGACTTCAAATTTTTATCAATAAATTATATATTCAAATTGGACGCTCTATAAATAAATTTAATTCGTAATAATCACAATTCTCAATCCTCATAATTTAATTAACTTAATTAACTCCAATTTGGACCTAATTAATTGAATCTCAATTTTACTAAACTGAAATGAATATTTAATTAAACTCCCAAATGGGTCCGTAATTAAAATTAAATTGATTCAACTTTCTAATTTCAGTTACTTAAGCCATTTGGACCCTTAAGTTCTAATTCCAAAAATAAATCTTTAATAGAATCATATACGAATCAGATTCTACAATCCTCATAAATCCCAAATTAAATTAGGATAATGACTAATTAAAATCTCAAATCTCCTTAAATAACCAAATATAAAATATTATACGAGGCGAGGTCATCACACATGGGCTGTGTAAAACCTAAGCAATTCACGTGTATATAGTTAGTTTGTTTGGAAGATTAGTTAGTTTGTCAGATGGTTAGTTATTGATATGTGAATATACATATATATATATATATATAATGTAATAGTTAGATCAATAATGATAATCAAGATTCAGTTTCTCTTCATGGTATCAGCGCGAATAGAGCTCTAACGAGCATTTCAACAATGGTGTTATCTTCAATGCCAACCTCTACTGTTCTTCATCCAAATCTTTCTCTTCTTCTTTCCAATCTCAATTCTTTAGTCACAGTAAAACTTGACCCATCAAATTATCTAATTTGAAAAAGTCAAGTTCATAATCTGTTTCGAGCCATATAATTATTGGGATATCTTGATGGATCAGTTGATTGTCCTCCTCCTACAATTGTGAATGCATAGAACAATTCATTCTCCAATCCGGAATTCAGCAAATGGAAGCTTATTGATGCACATCTTCCTAGCTGTTTAACTGTGACTTTGTCGCCACCAATTTTTTTCTTCAGTCTTGCATCTGCAGCATAGTCGCAAAGTATGGATTGCTTTGGAGAAAAGGTTCACTACTTTATCATGATCACATATTCATCAACTCAAGAACAAGCATTAAACACTTTCACAGAAATCTCAGACTATGGAGGTCTATCTGCAACAATTCAAGGAAATTTCATATCAAATTGCATTGGTCACTTCACCTATAGATGATGAGGATCTTATTCTTCTTGTTTTGAATGGTCTTCCTGATGAATATAACTCCTTCAAAATAGCTATTCGAGCCCGATCTGATGGTGTAACCATGGAAAAAATGTCCTCTTTATTATATTCTGAAGCAATTCATATTGAGAAGATCAATTTACATTCTTCTCCTAATGTTGCTTTCTCTGTCATTCAAGGAGCTCCTTCTGAACATCAAACCCTAGCTTCGCCATATTAGTCATCTCCAAATTCACAACATCAACATTTTCAGTCAGGAGATAATCGATCAAATTTTTCTAATTATAGAGGAAATCGTTCCAATTCTGGTAGCAGAGGTCGCTATACCAATTCTTCAAATTATAGAGGCCGTTGTGGAGATCTATTTTCAGGTTTTGTTTGTCAAATCTGTGGCAAAAACAATCACACAGCTCTTGAGTGTCGCAATCGCATGAATCCAGCTTATACACCCTCTTATGGATTTGCTTCTGGTTCACCGACTCAAGAAGGATATTCTCTGCTCTCTCTCTCTCTCTGCTCTCTCTCTATCTATCTTGGTGGTCCTTCTCCATCCTCTACATCCATCCTCTACAACTCCTCGAGCCTTTTCTACCACAGGTTTTGTTCATTCTTCTTCATCTAAAGCTTCTCCTTGGTATCTTGATTTAGTTGCTACCACACACATCACTAATGACTTGCAACATATGCATCTGTATTAACCCTATCAAGGCCATGATCAGGTTGTGGTAGGCAATGGAGATTCTCCTCCTATTCAGCATTGTGGAGCTGGTATTCTTCCCACTCCTACCTTTTGTTTTTAGTTGAACAATTTGCTTCATGTTCCTCAAATTTCTTCCAATCTTATTTCTGTTCATCAGCTCACTCAAGACAATAATTGTACAATCACTTTTGATAACAATTCTTTTGTTGTTCAGGACAAAAATTTGAAGGCAGTGCTTTCTAGAGGTTTTCACTCTAATGGTCTTTATCAGTTTTCCTCTCCTCCGCAAGCTTAGTTTCTCAAAGCAACTCTTCTACTTTGTGGCACAAGAGATTAGGTCATCCCTCAAGTTCAATACTATAGCTAAGTTTGTTCCTATTGTTTGTAATAAAGATGATAATGGACTTTGTTCTCACTGTTGTGTGGCTAAAAGTCATCGTTTGCCTTTTACTTTGTCTTCTTCTGTTGTCAACCAACCTCTTGCCCTCATCCATAGTGATGTTTGGGGCCCCTTTACTTAAGACCATTCTTAATATAGCTACTATGATGTTTTTGTTGATGATTTCAGTGGCTTAACCTGGTTGTTTCCTTTAAACTACAAGAGTGAGGTTTATACTAAATTTTTGGAATTCAAGGTGTTTGTTGTAAAACAATTCTCTACTTCTCTTAAGATTTTCCGATCCGATGGTGGTGGTGAATATTCTAATCATAAATTTCAGCAATTTTTCACAAAATGTGGTCTTGTTCATCAGTTTTCTTGCCCTCATACTCCATCCCAAAATGGATTGGCTGAAAGAAAACATAGACATATCATTGAAACAACTATAACTTTCCTGCATCACTTCTCTTTGCCTCTCAAGTTTTGGTTTGAGGCTATCTCTACTGCTGCATATCTCATTAATAGATTGCCTAGGTCTCAATCTCCTTGTCTTAGTCCTTTTCAGATTTTGTTTGGTACCTAACCTGACTATTCTTTTCTTAGAGTTTTTGGATGTTGTTGTTATCCCTGGCTTCACCCAAATACTAACCACAAACTTGAGCCTCGGTTTCTTCCTTGTGTGTTAATTGGTTATCATTCCTCCATGATGGGGTATAGATGCTTGGATCCTGCTACTGGCAGAGTTTATATATCTAGGCATGTGATTTTTCATGAAACTCACTTTCCCTTTGCTCAAGTCTCCTCTTCCGACTTCTCTTCTCCCTCTTCGTCTACACTTCAGTCTTTCTTTTGGCCTTCTCCAACTGTTGCTTCTAATCCTTTATCTTAATTTTCTCCTTCTTCTGATTCGTCTTTTGCTTCCATTTTACCTGTCTCCTCTACACTGTCTTCTTTTCCTTCTTCTTCATCTTCATCTCCTTCTTTGTCTGCTCATCCAAGTATTCAATCAACTATACTTATTCTTCCTCATCCTCCTATTTCTTCCTCTAGTACTCATTCTATGGTTACCGGGTCCAAGGCTACTTCTTCTCTATGTTTCTCAACTTCTATTTCTCCATCTCTCTTTGAACCTACTTCTTATAAAGAAGCTCTCCAGTCTCCTCATTGGTTGGTAGCTATGCAAACAGAATTTCTAGCTTTACAAAAGCAGCATACTTGGACTCTTGTTCCTCCTTCTACAACTAACCACGTTATTGGATGTAAATGGGTTTTTAGGATCAAGAAACACTCTGATGGTACCATTGCTAGGTACAAGGCCAGATTGATAGCCAAAGATTACTTGCAAGAAGAAGGTGTGGATTTTCATGATACTTTTTCTCCAGTTGCTAAACAGCCTATTGTCAGGATTTTATTTTGTTTGACTCTTCATTTTAACTAGCCTATTAGGCAGTTAGGTATCTCAAATGCCTTCTTGTATGGTACTCTTGATGAAGATGTCTTTATGCACTAGCTACCTGGTTTTGTCTGTTCTACTCAACCTTCCTTTGTTTACAAATTGGACAAATCTCTCTATGGACTTAAACAAGCTCCTAGGGCTTGGTACACTACTTTTGCTTCCTACCTTCTTTCTATAGGTTTTGTTCATAGTCAATGTGATCATTCTTTGTTCATTCAGAAAACTTCTTCTACCATTACTTATCTTCTTGTCTATGTTGATGACATTTTACTCACTGGCAACTCTTCTTCTCATATTCAATCTCTCATTTCTCATATGAATTCAGTATTTGCTCTCAAGGATCTTGGCTTGGTTAATTACTTTCTGGGTATTGCTATTCACCACACTTCTACTGGTCTGTTTTTGACCCAACATAAGTATGCCTCTGATATTTTCATCAAGGCAGGTCTTGCACAATATAAGCCTTACTCATCTTCTTTGTCTCTCAAACCTCCTTCTTTTTCTTCTGGTTTTTCTTTGCCATTTCATAATCCCTCTCTCTATAGAAGTATTGTGGGAGCTCTTCAATATCTTACTCGTACCTGACCTGACCTTTCCATTGCTGTTAACATTGCCTGTCAACATATGCACATACCTATTATGGCTGATTTTGCAGTAGTCAAATGGATCCTTAGGTATCTTAAAGGAACTCTACACTATGGTCTTAATTTTAGTCCTAGTTCTTTTGATATGCAATCTTCTCTAATGTAGACTGGGCTGTGATCACTCTGCTCGCAGATCTATTTCTGGATTTTGTGTTTTTCTGGGGTCCAATCTTATTTCTTAGCAAGCCAAGAAACAACTTACTATTGCTAGGTCTTCAACGGAGGCAGAATACAGATCATTAGCTCAAGCTACAGCTGAAGCGG